GGCTTTGTAAATCTCCCAGTGGAGTAAACATGTTTCCTGGGGACACAATTAGGAAACAGCTGTCCTAGAGCTGTCTTAAGAACTGATTCAAGGAAGTATGCAAACGTTCTTCAAGGACTACTTTTTTAAAACTATGCACATGTATTGCAGGCAACTAGAACCTGAAAATAAGGTTGCCCCTTGAAAGTTACACTATATCAATAAATAGGGAATTGGAAATAGAATTAGGGAACGTGGAGAAGGTCTGATTAAAACATTAGCATATCTAAAGAATAAATGGAAATTAGAGCAAGGCCAATTGAGGAGGCAAGTGTGACCATAATCACACTTTATGTGGGATTATCGACTAATAATCTCTGCCACTGGAAGAGGGTGTTGCCTGCGTAGTCCAGTTGTTTGGTGCTGGTGGCAGAAATACCCACATGGAGGTGACAAAGTCTCTCTCCTTGACCCAACCAAAGTCAGGTTTCTCTGAGCTCCTTTTCCAAGGAGGTCTCATCCTCGGGCTCTCTACTGCCTGCTAAGTCAGTTTAGAGAGAACCCTGTACCATATTGGAACACCATTGATATCTGATCAAATTTCTCATCCTCCACCTTTGATGTACCAGTCTTGACCTGTATTTAGCAGGAATCCTGTTAAGTGAACTTAGCAAGAATCCCCCTATCCTTGATGTCTCCTCTTAACAATTTTCCATCTGTTTGCTGACTGGAAATCCCCAGATATCTTTGCTGTATTCAGAGTGAAGCCCCATCTCTCTCCCCAGTTGCCATAGTCTTGACCCCTGTTGCAATATTCCCAAATAAAGTCTTCCTTACTGTTCGAATAAGTGTGAGAATATTTTTTTTGTTTTGTTTTTACTTTAACAGGGGTGAGGGATGGGAAGGATCCAGTACTCCTACTTGCTGCCTTCAAACGTTAGAACCACTAAAAGGATCAGCCTTGTTTTTCTTTCATGCTTGTCTAACTACCTCGGGTGGTCCCTACCTTCCAAAGTTGTTCTCATGATGAAGAAAATTCCCATCACCATTTTATAGTTCTCGGTATTAATAAATGGGCATTGATGCTGGTTTATATATTTCTGTGATTAAGTTAAGCACAGAGCGGTATCTCCAAGTTCAAGCACATTGACAAAAGTCAAGTTTCTAGGGCTGCAAAAGAGACAACCAGAAGGTGAGATCTGGCCACAGTGAGCTACAGCAAGAATCCATGCTAGAGCTGAGATGACACAGCTACCTAATGAACACCAGCCACCAGAAGTCAATAGGGAGTTAGAGACAGGAAATAATGTGGGTGATACCAACTATTTGGGCTGCTGCACTCAGAATCAAATCCTCTTTCTCTCTCACTGCCTACATCCCAAGACTCCATTATATCTTGTGTTTCTAACCTCTATCTCTCAGATCTACCAATGGCTTTATCCTGACTTGGAAATCTTATTAAAATGCAGATTCTGTTCAGAGGTCCAAGCAGGGGTAGGGACAGGAGTCTGCACTTCTAGCAAGTTCGCAGGTGTTTTGATGCTGCTGGTCCACTGATTCCAGTCCCCCCGCCCCCCGCCTTTGAGCACAAGAGGCAGGTGCCATCATCTTTAGTCTTGGAGTATTGCCACAAACTCCTAATTGGTTTTTCTGCCTCTTTCCAATCCATTCCCCACCCCACAGCCAGTGTGGTCTTCCAAAAATCAAATCTGAACAAGTTCCTCCACTTTTCCTTGTTTCCCATTGCCCTGGGCGCCCTCAGATCCTGCTCTTGCCTCCCACTGCACCTTCAGGCTCCCACTCCTATCTCACGCTCACTGTTCCAGCCCTGGTGAATTAGGCTCAGTTCCTGTGAGTACCGTGTGATCTGTGTTTCTGAACTTTCTCAGAAGTTCTTCTCATTTTACAAACATTATTTTCCTTCTAACTCCCATGTTCATCCCTCCCAACCCCTCCAGGCTTTTGCAATCCAGTTATATACCCTTCTGTTGTGATTCTATAATACCCTGGACTTTCATCATTGTACTTATGAACCTATATAATTGAAGTTTCTATCATTAGATTATGAATGGAGGAGAGAAAGAAGTACCTGTATTTTTCCATTGTGTCTCCATCCCATTGTTTTGCAGTATAGACATGTTTAAAATATATTTATTAATTTGAATTTATTGAATTGAAATGGAAAAAGGAGAGCATTCAGGAAATAGAAGCCTCCCTGGGTTTCAAACTTATATCCCATTTGGTCTTCTTCATAGTCACATCAAAGTTACTGCATGCTAAGGATAAAATTGATTAGGTTATCAAACTGAACCACAGTCTAAAGCTTTCTAACTACTTTAGAATAAAACCAGTCTTGCAGTTCTAAGTTCTGTCTTACCTAAGCAATACAGAGTACATATTTTATATATAAAACAAGGCAGCTCTGACCAGCTGTTCTTTACTTTTACAGAAGAGATAGCAAATGTAAACAAAAATGCAGTAAGATAGGCAAAGTAAGGAAAGACTGGATGGCAAGTGGGGAGACAGGTTAAATGTGAGGCTGCTCTGTGAGGGGCCCTTCCAGAGAGGTTTCACATGATAGCTAAGCAGTTCTTTAATCTTAGTATGTGAGATGCTGTAAATGAGTCTTACCTCATTTAATTATAATTTTTAACAAAATCTCCAAACTTTACATTACATTCTGAGATCTCATAATGTATCCTTTAAAAAATCATAATGGGGGGTGCCTGGGGGCTCAGTCTTTAAGTGTCTGCCTTCGGCTCAAGTCATGATCCTAGGGTCCTGGGATCGAGCCCTGCATCGGGCTCCCTGCTCCACGGGAAGCTTGCTTCTCCCTCTCCCACTCCCCCTGCTTGTGTTCCCTCTCTCGCTGTGTCTCCCTCTGTCAAATAAATAAATAAAATGTTTAAAAAAATTTTTTTAAATAAAAATTCATAATGGAATCTTCCCAAGAGTAAAACAGTGGCTCAGTTGGTTAAGCATATGCCTTCTGCTTGGGTCATGATCCCAGGGTCATGGGATCAAGCCCCCTGTCAGGCTCCCTGCTCAGCGCGAGTCTGCTTCTCCCTCTTCTCCCTGCTCCTGCTCTCTCTCTCACTATCTCTGCCTCTCTATCCAATAAATAAATAAAATCTTAAAAAAAAAAGAGTAAAACAGATACACATGCTTACCATAAAAGTCTATGTTGTTGGAGTATAGCAATGCAATGAGGTTGATTTATATCATTATATACAAAATTATAATTAGCAATCTGTTGTATTTTCATATTTTTTTCACTATGCTTTGCTTTTATTTTTTATTTTTTTTTATTTTATTTTTTTTAAAGATTTTATTTATTTATTTGACAGAGAGAGATCACAAGCAGGCAGAGAGGCAGGTAGAGAGAGAGGAGGAAGCAGGCTCCTTGCTGAGCAGAGAGCCCAATGCGGGGCTCGATCCCAGGACCCTGAGATCATGACCTGAGCCGAAGGCAGCAGCTTAACCCACTGAGCCACCCAGGCGCCCCTGCTTTTATTTTTTAAAGGAAGGAATAGCATAATGAAAGCACTAGGATATAGCTTGCCTTCTTGTTTTCTCATTGTTACCAGATCCTAAATCTCTCCTCTGATATGGCTCGGGACTCTGGTGTAGAATATATTACTTCATTCCCACGAAGGTATTACCTGACATGGAAAAGGTCACCTCTGGGAGCCCACCTGGCTCACTGGATGAATTCCTCACTAGTAAACAATACACTCATTGTCTTTCCTTGGTCCTTGTTCCAGAGCCATGCCTAATGGAGGCCAGCAGCAGCTGCCCAAACTCACCTTCTTGGAAGGAATGAAAAGAAAGAAGAAACAGAGAAAGCTGGAGTTAGGGAGTAATTCAATGTATCAAAGTATCTTTCATGTTTTCTGTGTGAGAATATTGAACATTTTCACAGGTGTGAATTTAATTTTAACACAAATATGATAAACCTATTTATTGAGTACCTCAGACATGCCTAAACTTTAAATATGTATTTTATTTTGTCTCTGTGACAGCCAGGACGATTAGGTATTATACGGCCCAACAAAACTGAGGCCCAGAGAGAATCAGTCGTAGTCAGTGGCTGATCTGGGATTCAGCCTTGGATCAGCCTCATTTCTAAAGCCCTAGCTCTTTCCTCTAAGCTCTGCTGCCTTTGAGAAAGCAAATCACCAAAGACAAACGCATAGTTAAAAAATAAAGACAGAGCTAAAAACGAATATGCAGGCATGAACACAGTCTATCCGAGTATCCAAAGAGCACGTGAACGCCGGGCACTGGACCCCTGCGGGATTGCTGTCCTCGCCGGGAAAGCTCCTCTCCGAACCAGCTGCTGTAACTGTGGCTGCGTGTTACTTAGGAAAACTGCAGAGCGCTGAGCGGAGGGAGCGCGAGAGAACTGCAACCGGATTTAAGATGTCAGTCTGTAAAATATGTATTTAGTTTGTCCAGTTCATTTCCACTGCCACTTCCCCCCTTGTAACTCTTCACTCTTCCAGCTTGCCCTCCCCGCAGCCCTTCTCTACACCCCCAGGAAATCAGATCCTTCGTCCTTCTGTGGCTGCTCGCTGGTTCAAGGATCAAGTTAAGCATCCTTTACGTGGCGTCTCAGGCCCTCCACGTTCAGGCCCCTGCTCTGCGCACAGGCTTCCACTTCTTGCCATCTAACCACCTGTGCTGCGCGCTCCTGACGCCCTGGCCTCTTCCTCCCTCGGCGTCTTCGCACACCGAGGCTGTTCTCCTGTCCCCCGCCTTTAGCTTTCCCAAGTCCCACTCACTCTCCCAGTCTCGGCTTAGAAGCCACTTTTTAAGGAAAGCCTTTCCTGGCTGATTCCTCCCCCGTGGTCTCCTCCCCCGCCATCTAATTAGATCTTCCAGACTGCGCTACCAGTACTTTTCATATCACCAACCGCAGTACACATTATACACTTGCCTGATTATTTTTAACGTCTGCAAGTGTTACAAGGGCTTAGCACTGTGCCTGGCTGCCACACTGCTGGACCTTAGTAACTTCAATGAATGAATGGAGAGACTTGAACTGGATTTTCATTGTCACCATCATCAACCTATCAGGCAATATTTCGCCTCCCACACTGCTGCTATCACCGGTATGCCCGCCCCTGTGGGGTTGGCAAAGCCCTGGTGGAGAGCAGCCCCCACCTCGCGCTCAGGAGCTCGGGGGAGGACCCGGACACAGCGGGGCTCGGGGTAGGTCTCAAGGCCAGGTGTCCTCCTGGCTCCCAGGTTCACATGCATTGGGGGAGGAGCGGCGGAAGAAAAAAGAGAGACTGAAACAGGGAACGCCCCGTACCTAGAGGGGACCGCGGGCGGCGCCTAGTGCGCCTCCGGCCTCAAGGCCAGCAGCCGCCGGGGACCTCGACTTCCTCCTTTCGGGGCCGGCGCGCGGGGCTGGGCGGGGCGGGGCGGGCGACGCCTCCGTCGGGCTGGGCTCCCGGCCGCCCCAATGGGATTCGGTGCGGGGCCGCGGCTGCGCCCAGTCCCGGCGGCGCGCTCGGCCGCGGAGGAGGCTGCCCGGCCGGGGCAGCGGAGGCGCTGCGCTCCGCGAGGGGAGGCCGAGCGTGCCAAGCTGGCGCCGGGCGGGGCCATGGTGGCCGGCTCCCGCGGCCTCCTGGCCCTCCTGTTTGTGGTCTCCGCCCCGCTCCGGCTGCAGGCGGGCGAGCTGGGTGAGTGGAGGGCGGGCGGCGGGGCAGGGCGGGCTGGGCCTGGAGGGACCCGGCGCGGGAGGAAATGGGTCACCGCCTGATCCCCGCGGGGTCCTGCTCTTTCTGGCGGACGGCGGCTCGAGTATAAAACAAGTTACAAAATTCCGATCGTTCCCCCACCCAACTCCTTCCTTCCCCGCTCGACCAGAGAAGCAACTTGACACCTCCCGCGTCCCCTCTGCTTTCCCCGCAGCCGGGCTGACTCTGCTTCCAGACTTCCTGACTCCGCCGGCCCCGTGAGAAGTGACATGGCCCCGGGGGTCGCGCGCTGACGACCCCGGCCGCCTTAGGGGAGAGTCGTGAGCGGGGACGGTGATCGCAAGCCTCCTTGACGGGGCTCCTCAGCAGCTGGGCGCCTGGGCCCTCCCGGTCCCCTGTCCTCCCTGCGCGGCTGCGACCCGAGGGTGTGCGTTTGCCGCTCGTAGGAATGGGGGGCGGGGGGAGGGGAAAGGTTCCCCCGAAGTTGGGGAGGAGGGCTGCCTCACTTGTGTGCTGCTTGCACCCCAAGTTGTCATGTGGCTTGGCTCTTTCCTGGGTGTTTGAGCGAGTCGATTCCCGACCAGGCTGGTCTTTCTGTGGACCTGGTCCTTGGTTTCAGGTGGGACGTGATTAGCCCACGACCGACTTTACTTCTGCATGGCCACCTGATTAAAGCAATAAACCGTTTTACCACCCAAGCAAATCCTTGTTAATTAGTTCTTTACTGATAGGGCAGCTTTCTGCAATTTTTCAGCTGTTTTTTTCCTTCCCTGCTTGTGCCCCTATACAACGGAGAGTATTGAATGGCACTAGCCAGAGTATTTTGACAGATTCCCCCCACCCCTACCTTGTGTTTTCTAATGAATCCAAATGCTGGCATTTTCTTCACTGAACCAAGTATCCATTCCCAGTCCGAAACATGAATAGTCAAGATGTCAGTAGTGGTTCCCAAGTTTGCTTACATACCAATTTGTTTGTTTGGTTGGTTGGTTTTTTTGTTTGTTTGTTTGTTTGTTTTAAGCTCAAGTTTAGGCAAAATATGTCTTGGCACTAACAGAATGCTACGCATATCGTAAAATTTTAATAAATAATGTATGTTTTTATTAAATGTAGGATTTTGATCATAGGTGTTTTAAACATTTAAAAAATGTTTCTCACCTCACTGTTAGAAGATGGAACCTCTATGAATGTGTCCAACAATGTTCCCCTGTCCTCGTCTTGCCACAACTGTCTCCCATTTTTCCAAACGAAGTTTCAGATGTTGGACCTTCATCTAGGCTGTTGAGTGGGCGCTTTGTGGAGAGAGCAGTTCTCTGGGAGCAACTGTGATTGCTTAGATCTTACTGAGTTTCAAATCTGAGACTTGGTAGCAGCTGACTGGCAGAAGAAAATGTTGTCATTTGAGTTTCCACAAAACATCCTATGTGTTTAGGATGTTAAAAGAGCCAATGAAGGCATAAGTATTCAATCACACAAAAAAAGCAAATCTTAGATTTGGGACATTTTACTGAAAAAAAAAATTCTAGGAACTCTGGTCTGATATCTCTGGAGTGATAATCAGTGATTTTTTTTTTTTTTTTTAAAGTATTTCTCACATCTGTGGTTTTCTCAATCAGCCCTTGGTCACTTGTTTTGCAAGTTTACATAAATTTAAACAGGCACTCCCATTTTAGGTCTTGAGATAGGCTACTGGCTACATTGTCGAAGGGTGGTCAGAAGTCTTATCAGCAATCTTGATGCTTAGAAGAGGGCAGCTCTAGAATAACTTTGGTGAGAAGTTGACCCCATTTATTATATTTTACCTTCATCATTCTCAGAGTCAGCTTAGTCTGTTCTTGGGTCCCAACCTGCCTCATCACCACTATCTCCGGAAGCTTTGTAAAGCCCCAACCCCATGCCATGAATCAGAATTGCAAGTGGGTCGGGCCTGGGAATAGGCACTTAAAAAAAAAATTCTCCCAGGTAATTCTGATTCTACTCAGCCTTGAAATGGTGGAAACATTTTATAATTATAGGATTATAAAATGCTACCATCAATGTCATAGACAATTTAATATTACACTTTTATTCACTGGATTATGTTTCAGGAAACAAATGTGACAATTTAAGTATTTATAAGCCTAGTCAATGAAATTATTCCAGTTTTTTATGACAGTCTGGGGAAGCTATATTGGTTCCTTTGTAGGGCTTCTGTTTACCTGAAGGTGCTTTTGCTCAGTTTATTTTTTAAAAAGTGGCCACCTCTTCTAGTATTTATAGCATGCCGGGCCCCAGGCCCCAGGACTAGATGAGCAGAATTTGGTCTGATTTCTGCTCCTTCTTATGCCCTTCCTCTGGACCAACTTAACTAAATTTAGATATGGTTTCACATGGTTTTTGATCTTATGTAACATTATGTATAAATTGATCTTTAGTATTAATACAATTAGTATAAATTCATAGGCTTGGACTTAGATCTTCATACGTTGATTCTAAGTTTTGAGAACAAAATATCCTAATTTGTGTGATGAATTTTTGCTAACTAAAAATCCCTGATTCTCTCCTCAGGAAAATATTCGTAGATGTATATTAAAGATTTCCTCCATGTGATTTAAGTTTTAGTGAAGAATAAAAATAAGCATTCAGTCTCTAAGGAAACTTTAAGCATAGAATTGGATACTTTAAAATTGCCTTAAAAATTCTGCCCAACTCTCATTTGTTATTATCAGAAGGTCTGATATATAAGATATATAAGATCTCTCCTACATATTTGGTTAGACATGGGACAGTGGATGTCTGATGTTCTGGGTGAGTGACTTCTTAAAAAGTAAGCCCAAGCTTACTCTGGTACCTTCTGTATCAGTGTGTATACTTGCCCCAGGCTTTCCATCATCCCATCACTGGGATTCTGTCTACCCTGTTGGACTGCCAGTTCCTGAGGGAGTGACTGGGATTGTCCTTATCCTAGCGCCTGACAAATGTGCTTAATAAATGTTTCTTGGGTTAAACTGAACAATCTTTTCATGTTTAGGCGATATCTTCAAGTTATTTCCTAATTAGTAGAAACTAAGTAATAGGGGTGCCTGGGTGGCTCAGTCACTTAAGTGTCTGCCTTCAGTTCAGGTCATGATCCTGGGTTCCTGGCATCGAGTCCTGCATCAGGCTCCCTGCTCAGCAGAGTCTGCTTCTACCTCTTCTACCTCTGCCTCCCCACCACTTGTGCTCTCTCTGTCTCTCTCTCAAATGAATAAATAAAATCTTAAAAAAAAAAAAACCCAGAAACTAAGTAACAAAGAGTCTATTGAAGGTCTTTATGAAGGTTTCTCTGGTGCTTCTCTTAATTAATTGTGTTTAGCAAGCCTGCTCTGTTGGCATACTTATTTCTACATGTCTCTATATATTTCAAATAAAAGGACAGCAAAAAGAAGGGAACGTGCCAGCAGACCAGAACGTACCATATCTTTTGGCTGTAGTAGATGTAACACTCAGAAACACTGAGTTGTATCATATAGTTCAGGAAAAAAAGATGTTAAAATGCTAAAGGCTTCATTAAACAAACCAAAGGATGCATTAGGATTTGAACTCTGAATAGTGTCTGAACTGAAGTTACTAGCTTTTTACTTTTAAGTTGAACTCTTTAACCTTGTGGCATTAAAACAGACATGAACAATCATATAGAGAACATAACTTGGAAATAACTTAGACATCTGATATTTACAAGGAATTATGGCTTTATTTTTAAGATGCATGGAGAGGTGAAATTAATTGCAGCATATAACAAAGGTTTTCATCATGTTAAGGCAGAAAAACAAAACAAAACAAAACTTGTTCAGGGAACTATTTCGTGTTGAGTTCTGAGTTACTGCTATGTGTCCTGAAGCGCAGAGTCAGCACTATACATGTTAGAGTAACCAGTTGTTTTGCATTTTTTAAGGAGATAATACACATAACCTATCTGGAATGGCACCTAGCCCGTAGGAAAACCTCAATAAATGCCAGTCATCTTCCTGTTCATTACTGTTTATTACGACTTATTTGACAAGTATGGGGGCCCCTTGGTTCTGCCTTCCCCACTTCCTCCAGGACCTTGTTTTCTACCATGCTTCCCCATACTCCCAGGCATTCTGGCTTTCTTACTCTTTCTCAAAGATATCAGACACTCTTTTCTACCTCCCAGCCTTTGCATGTGTTGTTCCCTCTGCCTGGAATAGGCTTGTCTCAAATATCTACATGACTCCCTCCCCCTTCAATCTTCTTGGGGAAAATGGCCCTAACCGCCTGTAACCCTCCTGCTATCCCCCAGGACTCCTTATTCCCCTTTCCTGCCTTCAGTTTTCTCTGGAGCACTACCATCTTCCACCAGAGTGTATCAGTTACACTTTTATTTTATATGCCTCTCTTCCCCCTACAAGAATGTAAGGTCCAGGAGGAGCTTTGTGCTTTGAACAGTGGCCAGCCCATGGTGGGTGCTCAGTCGGGAATGTGTGCTCAGTGAGGATGGGGGAGAAGGCAGTGGAGACCTAGTTCCTGCCCTGTTGAAGACTCAGAGCTGACTCGAGCTGAGAATCAAAACCAGAACAAGACAAAGTAAGAAAATAGTATGTCTAGTCCGACTGTTATTTATAGACAGAAAGTCTGAAAAGGTGGATTTAAACTAGAGCGATTCGTTCTGATATATTTAAAGCTTGGTTTTGAGGACAAATGCAAAAATATTGCCAGACTCTCAAGTTTTTATTTTTCATTAGACTATGGTGTAATTTTGCCTTTTTGCAACTGGAGAGTCATGTTGGTGTCATTTTCCAGATGTTTGTTCTCTGCTTTGTATATAGTTGTTTGCCTGGAAGGTGGGGGAGTGGGAGAGACTTAACTGGTGGAAAAAAACCCACATGGTGATTTCTAGCCCAGTGTAGAAATAAGTTCTCTCTGTGAGCCCTTGCATGCTGAGTGCAGATCAGCTGTCAAACTTGACTTCTGGTGACAGCGAAGAAGAGAGGGTTTTGTTT